TTTCATCTAAATTTTCAATAAAAACTTTGGTAACACCTAATTTACGTAATGCTGAATCACGTTGACACCGCTTAATATGTAATGGACGACCATGAAGAAAATCAAAATTCATTGTATCGAATGCATATTCAGCTGAAACGATAGAATATTTTTATTTATGGAAGAATATCTTTTATCAAAATGAATTCTACTGGATTTTGATAATATCCTATAACTCGAATATAAATAAAAAGCAAACAACCGTTTTTTTTTTATTCTTTTTCTCATTTCGTTCGATCACATATCATTCTATTGTAATAGTTAATAAACTGACATACCATCAGTTGCTAGTTGAAAATTGACTTCAGCATAGCCAAGTGATCGTCGTGTAATCATATCACGAAAGACTCGAATTGATGAAATTGGCCCAACACTTGCAAATTTGTCGAATAACATTGCCTCATTAACATTAGGGTGAAGATTATCTTTGATTCAAACGAAATTTAGAACGAAAACAATAATATTCAAACCTACCAACACGCAATGAGGTATATGAGATGATTGGAGCTCCTAGTAAATCACTGGGTGATGCCATATTATTTTTATTTTTTTGTCGTCTAACGTTGTTTTGAGAAAAATGTTGCGTTCCTTTTTATTCCAAATGAGATAAATTACAGAGTCGTATGATCGCTTTATGTGAACTGCTTTTTTTTATCAACAAGTGACTGCAAACGTGCACACACACAAATATAAACCCACTCTACACAGGTGATCAATAAAATAACTGAAGACGGTCAAAATGACTAGTCGGAAATGTTTGCAATACCCGTCATGTCTAGTCCATTTTGTCCGTTAACTGCGTCCAAACTAGTCAGCAAAACAGAAAAATAAGAAAAAAAAGAAGACGAAAAGTAGATTTGAACATTTGATCCGACAATATTCGATATTTGACGAGCAACATGACGGCAGATTATAGCATATCGATAGACTGACGACGGTTTTGACCGTCCAAATAGCAGAATGATGCTCATCTATGTGCTAGACAATTTGACACCCGTCAGAGACGAGAAACTTGACTAGTCTGAAGTGTCATCTGCACATGTTAAGACTAGTCCATTTTTTTTTGAGAATGTTTCATCGATCCTTGTTTACACTAGTCTAAAAACTCCAGATAATTCATTTGGTTTGGAGTAAACTATCCTGCTACTTCGTTTAAACTGATCCATAATGGAAATTTAAAAAAAAGTAGAATGTAAATAAGGATAATCGCAACTGATTCGTCTTCGAGAAAATATTTTTAATCCTAATTCAGACAAGTGTAAACTCTTTACACAAGCCCTTTTGTTTGAATTTTTCTGACTATTCTAAATGAACAGGTATCTATCACCCATCTTTCCAAGAATAAAAATATTATACTTTTCATTCTAAAGCTACTACAAAAATCTATTGAAGCACGAAACAAGCACATTAAAACACATAACAGCTGCTTATATCTAAATGAGAGTTGCCTATTGACATTTTCTGAAGTTTATAGATTATAAAAATAATTAAGAATAATTTTAAATTATAGAATTTTTCTTTTTTTAAGTTTAAAATGGAAACATTTTAAATTAAGATAAAAACAAACCATAGGATCAAAAAAAAAAACATTTTTTTTACAATTTATATTATTTTTCATTTCTTTTTGAATTTTAATTGTTTTCAAATAGAAAATAATTTTCGCAAATGTGATGATCAAAAGAATTTTTTTGAAAAAAAAAACTAAAAAAAAAAATCTGAATCAGTTCTAAAATAATGATGAAGATGAAAATTGTTTTTTCAATTGAAGAAGAAAAGAAAAGATTTGAAATTCAATGATGATATACATTTCAATGGTATTTTATTTACTTATCCAAGACGAAAAAGATCGATTGATTTTCTAAAATCTTCATTTAATCGTTTATTTTGAACAAATTATACCATATGGTAGTAGAAATAGTTCGACTTTCATTCTTCAATTTTCTCATTTTCTTTTCAAATATTCAAATCATATTAGGAAAATCAACGATCATTTGATATGCTCTTCGTTATTATTAAACAATAGCCGAATAAATAATTAATCAATTAAGAACAATTTTAACTTCAACAAATGTCAGTTGTTTAAATAGAATC